TCTAGTTTCCGGCCATCATAATCAATGCCTCCACTATCTCAATATGGAAGTGAAATCGATCAATTGGGTTAGGGCAGTTTTTTTTATAAATGATATATGAGTTTATCATGGCCCTGAAGACCATGCTGAAAAAAACTTTGTTCCACCATTTGAGCGATCTTCTCTCATCTATATATGTGTTTAGCATCTGGTCGGAAAGATCCACCCCTCCCATTCCTTTATTGTACTCCTGCACCATTGCAGACATTGTTACAGATCTTCCAGAAGCTGTGGTGACTTCATCTGAGGAAGCATGCATCTTTGTTGAGAGTAGGGTGACCGGCTTCTTTTGGGAATGTTTTTCTCTCCATCTCAAGAGCAAAACTGGATCTCTAAAGCGATAGAGTTTCTCTGAAGGCTGGAGTTTCTTGCTTCTAATTGACGACGGCAGACTTCGTCTATTTATCCTCATGGTTCCTGTCAAATAGGTCCTTCTTGCATACAGGTCCAGAGCCAGATCCACAGATGTGTAGAGGTTGTCGCATATGATGTGGTATCCTTTATCTAGTAAATTGGCATTATTTACTAGCCTGAATACCACATCAAATGCCAACCCTTTAGAAGAAGGTGTGGAGGCAGCCTTTCCCGCATAGATGTCAAACTGGAGGGTGTAGCCACTTTGAGCTTCACATAGAACCCAGAGTTTGATTCCAAATTTGGCATGGGATTTGGGGATATATTGCCTCTTTTGGGTTCTATTTTTTTGTTTTACAAGGGATTCATCTATACTGAGATTCCTATCAGGGATGTAATACTTCAGAAAATTTTGTTGAGGCTTTCTAATACAGGAGAAACTTTGAATAAAGGGTCCACTTTAGTGTCGTTTTGATTGTTGTTGAGGTGAAGAAACTTTAAAATTAACCAAAATCTATCCCTTGGGATTCTAAAGAAAGCATGAGTATCTTGGGACCAATTTCTTTTATTCCAATATTCAAAAATTTTCCGCTTTTTTATCAAGCCCATGTTCAGGATAAGGCCTAAAAAGGCCTTCATCTCATCCAAGTTGGTGTTGGTCCAATTAAAAAACCTGGACCTTGGCTTTGCAGTGGACCTATTTGCTGAAATATATTGGGAGGCATATATATTTGTTTGGTCTACAATAGACTGTAGCAGTGAGGGAGTCATAAATAAATAAAAATATTCGGAAGGGTGGGCATCAGGAGCTGGGAGGGTGCCGGAGAGGGTAGCAGGGGTGAATCTATATAAGAGTCGTTCTGGCTGGTTTTCGTAGACAGGTAGCCAAGGATTTGCATTCGGAATGTCTTCAGAATCGCTAGAATCTGATTCCGATTCTAAACTATAAATTTTAGTAGAGGGAAAGAGAGGAGTCACCGTCGGAGGCCATTTCAGAGCACGCGAACTTGAAATATAAGTAGCGGCAATAAACAATGCCATCAACCAATCAGAACGAGAGGGGGAGATGACCTGAAGCCCCCCCTATATCTAGCAGACGAAAAACCTGAGTCAACAAAAGGGGGGGGAAATGACCCTGCTTACGCGGGCCGATTATATTGGCTTACGCACTTCCGCTTTAAAGTAGTCGGGCCGATTATATCGGCTCTCGCATCGATGGGGTTAAAATATTCACCCTCTATCTCTCTCTATTACTTTGGGCCTTAATATGTGGTTTTGTTATTTTGCTGTAGGTTGCTCAAAGAGTAGCAGATGAAAGAAAGCAAGATCTTGGTGAAAATGTGGGCTACAAAGTTCGACTGAATAAGTAAGTTGTCCATGTAGAATTATAGGGTCTAATTTTGGATTAATATTATTTTAAAGTGGAAAACATGAACTTTGTGGGCAGTGTATATATATATAAGATGCTGGTAATTTTTGAAAATGAAATTATTCGCGCATATAAGACCTAATCCAAATAATTTAATAGTGTGTGACGTTTCGGCAATAGCATTATCACCATCATCAGAAAAAATATCACAGCAAGTTCTTAAATAGTACTGTTATCAAGTGTTTGAACAGGATAACAGATAAGGAAAAATAGTTTTTTTAAAGACAACTTGAAATCTTCTTCTTAGAA